ACGTCAAGCGTTCACTTGAAATTTCTGAAAAGCTGTTCGTTGTTAATGACTTTTACAAATATAATTCCTGCAACGATGAACGTCTGAGAAATATCATTCATGCAGTAAGTTTTTTCTCTTTCATAAGTTGACGTAGTGCGTCAGTTCAAAGATGTTTCCTTAAATTTGAAGAAAAAAAATAGTTTCAGTATTTTTTCTAGTCAGCACAGTATGGAAGGAATATTTAAGCAAAAATGGGGTAATCATTTTTTGGAAGCTATTCCAACTGCTTATCAATGCAGAAGAAAAGTGATTGCTTTCTCTTCTCCATAACAAAACAGCGTTTTGAAGAATGCAACAAATGCTAAATTTTGGAACGAAAATGATAAAAGCTGATTGAAAAAAAACGAAATCTTATCAGCATACTGTAGTATTTGCTACAATGAAAACGGAAAATCTTACCAGTGCTAATCTCAATATTGGCTTAATGGATGCAGAATGCATGAGAAACTATAACTTGCAGAGTTTGAGAAATAATTCAACAAAATCCAAGCAACAGATTCAAAAGAAAGCAGAAACGGAATTCAATACCAAGTTTAATATTATATGCTCCAAAAGTGATCTCACTTACATCGTGCACGCTGACAAGTATTGCAAGCTGAGCGAATTAGATATCACTTGCTTTTTATTCACGGTTTTATGATTCACTACTGGCATTATAAAACTGTATAAAACAGTTTATAATTCATTACAAGCATCATTTCCGAGTCTTGTAACGTTTCATCGCTTATTGTTGCTTACTGATTGCTAGTTATATTTGTAATGAAAAAACTAGTTGCATCAAATAGTTCAATGATTATTCTGGCAGAATGCTAAAAATGCACCTTACGCATAGAACTTATTGTTAGTTGTATATAATTTTCATTTCACTTCAAAAATGTCCAACAACTTTGGTTTGCTTTTCAATTTTAGCACTGATTTTGATTTTTTAAAGCATTTCTTACGTATGGAGACTGTATTAAATAGTGTGATGAATTCAAAAAATTTGTAGTAGAATATGGATAACAATGTTAATGTAAGGGTGATGGCAGCGACTTTAAGCGTTCGTCAGTGCCTTATTTTACAAGTAAAATACCTATGATTGTATCAGCAGTTCCAAGAACAGACAGTACATAATATGTAATGCCTAAAACCGAAATAAAGATTGCACTCATCTTCTGTAATCAGTTATATTAGAAAAAACGGACGATTACAGGAATCGTGGGGCAAATGTACTGAATATATTCTCAAGCTTTCATTGAGTATGATATTTTGCTTGTACAATTTTTATTATTGCCTGAGTGAAGCGTAGACATCGAAGGTTCTCTCCAAATGCACCATTTTTGGTAAGCAGAACTGGCACTGAGGGATGAAACAAACACCGAGCAAAAGTGCCAA